TGCCTGCCTTGCCAAAGCCTGACTGTCAGTGCTGCTCCCATTTCATTCATACTGTGCTCTGTGTTTTCCATGCCTGGCCAGAAGATGTGCTTCCTGGAAAAGCAAACCAACTCAATGTTTTGGATGAAATAATGGAAGGATGCTTGCAGGGTACTCTGCATTTCGTTTTCTTACATTAGATTCAATATTGTGCTCAGGAACCTACCCTTTCTTGATTTAGGAGGATGATTTTTTCCAGAAATATGAAGGCTGCTGTCCCAAGGTTGTTCCGTGACATTTAATTACTTGTATCTGTTTTGGTTTTTTCCCCTCTGCTACTGCTCTCATTGCTGAACTCATCATCAGTGTGACAGGTATGAAAAGCAAGGACAAAATGTTGCAATGCCAGTGGTATAAATATTACTTTGTTCTGCCTCACTCCTTGAACAGCAGCATCTGTGATGCACAGCTGCTGCACAGCTACTCTCCTGGAAGAGTAGCTGTGCAATAGGTACAAATTGCTCCAGCCCCTTGGGATACATTCATCCTTAAAACTGGTGCCCCTCTCCCCCGTGGCTTTGTAGCTGGGACAGGACAAGGGTTGAATGAGATGAAAACTGATTTTCCCTCTGTCCTGTGAACACAGATCCTTCAGAATAGGGGTGAAACAGCCTTTTATGGCATGTGTTTTCTTTGATAGTGCCTGTGCTCATCTCTCCTTCTCTATCTTTCTTCTACCTGTCCCTGACAAGGAAGTTAAGCCTTCCACTGGATCACAAGGATCTCGCATAGCATGAGTGCTGCTGCTAAGTCCAGGACTGTTTGTTCATAAAACAGTTGAGCTGCAGCCACCCAAAGACAGGACTCATTTTGTTGTGTCCCTTGTACCGACACAGCTTCTGCTCCGGGAATTCTATACTGTCTGGGGCCAGGAAAAGCTGGATCTGTACTGCTGGAAAAAAACCCTAGATTAAGCAGCTGTCTAGCTGATAAGCAAAGCCACAGCAGCGAATGAACAAAATATCGTGTATAATATAACCAGGAAGCTTAAGGCATCGCATCACAGTTTGCCCTGTCTTCTGCCCCTTACATCCCTGAGCACTATTTTCAACTCTCATCTGGAAACATCATCCCTACCAAGATCCCTCCCAGCTCCCCAGCCCTGCCAGGTTCCCAAGCCTTGTACTGTCTCCCACCCCTACAGCCCTGCTCACTCTGCACCTGCCCAGGGTGCTGCCAAGCCAGGCAAGCACCAGAGCACCTGGACAACCTCATACGTTGGTGGCACGACACCAGGGTACCAGGACACCCACCACCCTGGGCACCCAGGCGACAAGCTGCAGCGGGGACAAGGCTCGCAGCCTCGAAGACGCGCAGACGGAGGGGAAAGGGAGAAAACGGGATGCTCCTCGGTGGGTCTCCGCCTCGGAGGGGTGCGGGTCCAGGCGCGGGGTAGAGGAAGGCTCCGAG